AAATTTATTTTTGGCTGCTTTGGGTTTTCCTTACTGCATGTGGGCTTTCTCTAGTTGCGGTGTGCGGGCTTCTCATTGCGGTGGCTTCTCTTGTTGTGGAGCACAGGCTCTCAGTGTGTGGGCTTCAGTAGTTTTGGCACGCAGGCTCAGTAGTCGTGGCTCGCGGGCTCTAGAGTACAGGCTCAGTAGTTGTGGCACACGGGCTCAGCTGCTCTGCAGCACGTGGAATCCTCCCAGACCAGGGATCGAACCCGTGTCCCCTGCACTGGCAGGTGGATTCTTAACCACTGCACCACCAGGGAAGTCTCTGGCTTCCTTTTTTATTCTCTTAATGGTGAATTCTGATGAGCAGAAGTACTTGATTTTAATGCAGTCAAAATTATTGCAGCTTTCTGTATCCTTTTTAAGAATATATTCTTCTACTTTTTTTTCTTCTTGAAGATTTATTGTTTGCCTTTCACATTAAAATCAATAAGCCCGTGCACCTAGAGCCTGTGCTCCGCAACAAAGAGAAGGCACTGCAACGAGAAGCCCGCGCACCACAACGAAGAGTAGCCCCCACTCGCCGGAACTAGAGAAAGCCCACATGCAGCAACAAAGACCCAACGCAGCCAAAAATGAATACATAAATTAATTAAAAAAACTAAAATCAACAATTCACCTGGAGTTGATATTGTGCATGATGTGAGGTAAGGATCAAAATTCATTTTTACCACAGGGACATGCAACTGAGCCAGCACCATTTATTGAAAAGACCATCCTTTCCCCATTGTTCTGCAGTGGCACGTTTTTCCTAAATCCAGTGTCCACATACAGGAAGGTCTGTTTCTGGACTTTCTAGTCTGTTCCATTGGTCTATCCGTCTGTTGGCTTTCTGGTGCCAATACCACATTGCCTTAATTACTGTGGCTTTATATTAAGACTTGATGTATGGTAGAGCAAGTCCTCCAGCTTTATGCTTCTACAACATTGTCTTCGCCCTCTTGGCCCTTTGCATTGCCATAAAATATCTTAAAATCAACTTGTTACCATTTAAAAAATGACAAATAGGTAAATCTGTTGGGGTTTTGATTGGGATTACATTGAATCTATAGCTCAGTTTGGGGAGAACTGACTTCTTTGCAATATTGAACCTTCCAATCCATGAACATGACATATCTCTCTACTTATTTAGGTCTTATTTAACTTCTCTCAATGTTTTATAGTTGTTTTTGTTTTCTGTGTAAGCCTTAATATCTTTCAATTTTCCCCTAAATATTAGAATGTTTTGATGCTATAGTAAATGGTATTTTTTTTCCTTTTTTTTTTTTTTTGCGGTATGCGGGCCTCTCACCAACGTGGCCTCTCCCGTTGCGGAGCACAGGCTCCGGACGCGCAGGCTCAGCAGCCATGGCTCACGGGCCCAGCCGCTCCATGGCATGTGGGATCTTCCCGGACCGGGGCACGAACCTGCGTCCCCTGCATCGGCAGGCGGACTCTCAACCACTGTGCCACCAGGGAAGCCCGTAAATGGTATTTTTAAAAATTCTCTTTTAATTGTTTATTGGCAACTGGTTTGTTTTTAATCTCATGAAAACGGAACTCTGTTACTCAGTGCTTCCCTATCTGATGTTCCATGAAACACCATCCTACTTGTTAAAGTGGTCTGCTAAATATGTTGGGAAAAGCTGAGTTAAACAAGTTAATCTAGTTTCTTCACTGCAGGACTTCTAAAGTCTTTAATGTGCTAACGTAATATTCCTCAAACTTACTTGGCCAGACTTACTCAATATTCAATGAATATCATAGTCAGGTATCATTCAGGATAAAAGCACAGAAAACAGCAACTACTCTAGGTGTTTTAAGCAGGAGGATTTAATAGAGGATGCTTATGAAAATCACTGGAGGACTCCAAGAGCAGGTGCTTGGCTCAGCTTCTAGGAATGGCTCCCAAATGTCCACAAGATGGACCCTCCCAAGGCAGGCACTGCCAGTGAGGCCACCACTGGAGCTCCTCAGCCCGCAAACCCTTTACTCCCACTGCCCCAACCACAACTGCCTCTCAGTACCCACGAGGTTGAACGCTCGATGTGCTAACGCTCCAAACCCTCACGTTTCCATAGTCATAGACATTCCCTGTCGCCACAAAACAGCAAAAGTAAAAAAGGAACAGCTGAAAACGGTCTCCATGCTTTCACCCTCCAAACCGCTCACAAGCACCTCTGAAAGGTGACAGCAATTTTGCATCCAGGACCACAACCTGCAGCTCTCTGCCGGATAAGAGGACACCTAGAAGGAGGGGGAATGCAGACTGAGCTAAGTGACAGCATCCACCACAACCAACCAAGTGCCTGGTGTATAGGCCGGGCACCCTTCTAGGCAGAGAACACATCTGTGAGCTAACAGGCTAGTAAGAAAGCCAGGTGTTGAACAAGTTAATGTGAGTACCCGCTCCCCACCTCTGACGGAAGTGCTATAGCCATCTGCCAAAACGAGTGTTTTCTGAAACATAGGGTGATCATGTCTCCCTCTTGGTACTGAAGGTAAGTGTTACATTTATGCTTCACTTCTATCAGTTACATACGACGTCACGGCATGCATTCTGCATATTAATTTTACCTTCATCTTATTGTTTCTCACTCATTTTCCCTATGTTCCTATTTCCTGATTTACTTTTTTTTTTTTTTTCCGGTACGCGGGCCTCTCACCGTTGTGGTCTCTCCCGTTGTGGAGCACAGGCTCTGGACGCGCAGGCTCAGCGGCCATGGCTCACGGGCCCAGCCGCTCTGCGGCATGTGGGATCTTCCCAGACCGGGGCACGAACCCGCGTCCCCGGCATCGCCAGGTGGACTCTCAACCACTGCGCCATCAGGGAAGCCCCCCTGATTTACTTTTTATCGTATTTTTGTAAGGTATCTTAAATCTTCCTCCTTAAAAAAGGACAGATATAAATCAATCATCTGTGTGAAACCCCAATGTTCACCCATGAGGAGTTACCCCACTCACAAATTCCTTCCACTATCATTTTTGTTGGCTTCACAAATTTGATAAAGTGCAAAACAGAAGCACTCATTTCATTCCTGGTTTCACTCTGGTAACCAGAAGACTGGAGGGAAGATCAAAGGTTGAGGCAACAACATGTTCTTTGAAATAAAAAATTAATATAACATGCTCTACAGCATTTCATGATAATTGGCTTTATTAACGTAGAACAATTAATGCTAGCCATAAAAGTATATCATTACATGTGTTATTATTACAAGTTAAAATTTATTCTCTGTTCCCTGTATTGCCATTTAACTGGAAAAAACAACAGCCAAAACTTGTCAACCTTACAGTCCATTTGAAATTGATTCAACTGAAAGCAATTAGCTTGTTCAAGAATGACAATATAAAAGAAAAGTATACACTGGAATGTATTACATTCTGGCCCAACAAACAGGTTTGATTCATTCTGGCTCATAAAGCATGCTGACGGTGTTTATGATTTTGAAAATTCACTGAAACTTTTTGCCTGAATTGAATCCTCTGTGATGCATGTTCTTGAGTTCTACCCATGACTGCCACAGTAACAGTCCTGGGATCAGAACCCAAACACCATTGAAAAATACCAGGTAGACCCAAAAGTAGAGCCAACTGTTGGTGTTGAGGTTGGGGCTTCCCATAAGCCAGTCTGGGCAGAAGGTCATCCACCCGCCATACAGTTCACACACACACAGGGTGATCTGTATGAAATGCCTGTTAGAGAGAAAGAGACAAGGGATGAAACTGCCAGCAGCATCAACAGTCTTCCACGGCAGAAAACCTCCCTGAAGTTGGACCTCAGGTTTTACGTAGAGCTCCTTTGATGGGGCAAATTGATAATTAATGAAGACCCATGCTTTCCTGGGAGAAGCAATAGTGCCTTTCCTAGAAGATTATCCTCAGAGTTAAAGAAGGTCTCTTGGGTATCCTGTCCTATTCTTCGGAAGATTTGGTGAGGTCACAACTGACCCGGTAAAGAGAGACCTGGATGTGAATCTCTCTGTGAGCCGCAATTTCACCTGTTGTAAAAGGGAGAATAATAGTCCCTTCCTCGAATAACATTGTGGAGATTAAATGAGATATGTAGATAAAGCACTGTGCCCGGCACATATTCAACAATGCGTATGTGTTAAATGTTTGAAATAATAAACAAATGGGTGCATGTAGTAAATCTACAACCACGATCATGGAGTCAAAGACATGGAAGGCACCCGGGAGAAACTGGATTCTTCCTGCCAACGCTCTATGTAAAACTGGGTGGGGGAAATTGGATTAAATGACCTTTGAGGTCTCTTTCAAATTTGAACTTTTATGATGAAGCTTTACATAAGACTTCTTCTTTGATACAAGATGGTGGAAAATGGAATGCCGTTGTGCCTACTTGACACTGTTTTAGGGAATCATCCCCAGGATAGCAATCTGTTTGTCCCAGGTCACCCCGTCCCTAAGATGGAGAGGAAGGAAAGGGAGGGAGGAAGCGGAGTTCAAAGTTCCAGGGTCTGATTGATGGATGGTTAATCTGCCATCTTTCTGTTTCGTCTCCTCACTCTTCTGCTTTCCTCATACCCTCCATAGCCTGCTTCTGGAAAGATTTCTTATTTATCTTGCATGTCTACCTCAGAATTACATGAGAGCTATTTCTTTGTGTCAAGCGGAATGGGAGTTTTCTAGAATGAGTTGGAGGGAAAGGATGCAAATATTACCTTTTGATTCTCCAAAATATTGGTGGCAAATCATCCAATGCTGTCACCACTGTGCTTGTCTATACAGCACCTAGGTTGTCAATACAATCATATTTCTCATATTTTTTTTATTTTGAATGGTCTGAGATTATCCTGGTGGCACCATGATCCTTAACTAATATCTAACAATTTTTGTTTCTAGTCTACTTTTTGTCTAACAAAGAACTCTGGTCATTATCCCCTCCAAATGTCACACTGGCATTGGGACAGCTAATGTTCCTCCTCTTTTCCGTAGGACAGGAGAAGAGCACTTACCGATAATGTTTCCCTTTGACGATGGCATAAATGAGAACCAATGCCAGAAACCCTCCCAGGACGACAGTCAGAATTTCCAAAGACACAATGGTTGGATCCAAATAAAGCCATCTTGCGTCAGCTTTGCCATATTCTTTCCCTGAAAACAAAATACATTTTGTTACTCATCTGGCAATCATTTTTATGACAGAGGAAATGACCTTTTTTTCCCCGTTAGGAGGAGATAAAAGAGTAACTACCACTCTCTCTGTAGTCTTCATTATGCCTTAGTGGAAGGCAAGAGAGGTCCTATGACGAAAATGCATTTGCCACCGGACACAAGTAATAACAACAATATCATGTTATATTTGTAAAATGATTTGCATTTTCCAAAGTGCTTTCACACGCGTGCCCTCTTCACCCTCTCCCTTTTCATCGTAAGCAGCAGAATTCTACATCAGTTTGACACAGTCAGACTTTGCAAAGATAATCTTTAATAGTTATCTTGGTAAATGCATTATAATTCCTTACGTCAAAATGTCAACATGAAGTCTGTATTAGTTAGATGTGGGAAAATTATTATTAAGGAAATGTTTATAAAAAGACACATGTTTATTAGGGATTGAAGAGGAATTGAGTGCTGGGGAGGTAGCAGGGAGGGGAGGGGAGGAGAGTAACACGGCCTGGACTACAGAATGAATCCTAAATGGACAAAGGAGCATTTCGGTCTGCTACAGGGGCAGAATTCACTAACACAGCTACCACGAAACTGTGCTGACCAGGGAGCAGGTGTGCCCTAAGAAATCTTTCCAGGCCCCGTTATCAGGATGGTTACTTCTAGGAAGCACCATGAGGTCAGATAGTCTTTTTAGTGAAGGACCAAGGGCCATGCACTAGGTGAAGTCATATTCCCCTCCCTCCCTCCCTCCTTCTCTCTTCTTTCCTTCCTTCTTTCTTTCTCTCTCTCCTTCCTCCCCACCTCCCCCCCAACCTCTTTCTCTCTGTCTCTCTTTCCTTTTTACTTTAACAAAGTAATACGTGCTGGTCCTAAGATCTCAAATAAACAGAGGAAAAAAAACCCCAAAACCCTCTTCTCTCCCTTTAACTACTGTTCTCACATTACTTAGAAAAGGTATGAATGGTCAAAAATTAGCTGCGTGATCTGATTGGTCTGAGCAGCACAAAGCAATAGTCTCTTTTTTTTTACATCTTTATTGGAGTATAATTGCTTTACAATGGTGTGTTAGTTTCTGCTTTATAACAAAGTGAATCAGTTATACATATACATATGTTCCCATACCTCTTCCCTCTTGCATCTCCCTCCCTCCCACCCTCCCTATCCCACCCGCTAGGTGGTCACAAAGCACCGAGCTGATCTCCCTGTGCTATGCAGCTGCTTCTCACTAGCTATCTACTTTACGTTTGGTAGTGTATATATGTCCATGCCACTCTCTCGCCTTGTCACAGCTTACCCTTCCCCCTCCAACATAAGTGTCCATCATTGGATGAACGGATAAAGAAGATGTGGCACATATATACAATGGAATATTACTCAGCCATAAAAAGAAGCAATAGTCTCTTAATGGTTAGAGTTAGGATCCCTCCAGGGCCAGGGACAAAGGGTTCCCATGAAAGGCTGTCCCCAGAGAAAGGACACGCCAGTAAACATGATTAGCTATTTAATGAGATAACACACAGACACACGCTGAGCGGAGATTCTGTGAAAGGCCAGACGCAACTGGCAGACAAGGCAGAGCCGTCCAGCCTGTCCTTAGCCGACTGCCTGCCATGACCTAACTGGAAAACATCATAGTGAAAGTAAAAGTTTTCCCTATAAATTTAAACATAGATACAAGGCTTCCCTCGTGGCTCAGTGGGTAAGAATCTGTCTGCCAATGCAGGGGACACAGGCTCGAGCCCTGGTCTGGGAAGATCCCACATGCTGTGGAGCAACTAAGCCCGTGTGCCACAACTACTGAGCCTGCGCTCTAGACCCTGCAAGCCACAACTACTGAGCCTGCACGCCACAACTACTGAAGTCCACGTGCCTAGAGTCCATGCTCCGCAACAAGAGAAGCCACCGCAATGAGAAGCCCACGCACCGCAGCGAAGAGTAGCCCCCACTCGCTGCAACCAGAGAAAGCCCGGGCACAGCAACAAAGACCCAATGCAGTCAAAAATAAATAAATAAAATAAATTAAATTAATAAAAAAAACCCACATAGATACAATAGGTGAAATATACTATCTAGTGTAGCCAAAATCTAAGAAAATATCACAAGTAAAAGGTCAATGCTTTAGGAGCTAAGAGATTAGTGGGTGTTTAGACATTCACAAAAATAACCCCATTCATTCATTCTTTTTTTAAAAAAATTTTGATTTATTTATTTTTTGGCCACGTGGCATGTGAGATCTTAGTTCCCTGACCAGGGATCGAACCCATGCCCCCTGCATTAGAAGTACAGGGTCTAACCACTGGACCTCCAGGGAAGTCCCCTTCATTCATTCTTTAATTCAACAATTTTTTTGTAGCGTATAGACGCCTCTATGCTAGGTCTCAAGAATGCAGCAGCGACCAGGACACAAAGTCTGCTGCTGGTGGTTCATACTGTAGCGAGCTCAAACCATGTAATAAGTGACGGGGACAGAGAATAGGGACATGGAGAAAAGGCACTGCACAAGCTAGGAGATGAGGTGTTCTGATCGCTTCCTCTTCACCCTACATGCGAGGGAAGGGTTCCCGCCCTGGGCTTATGCGGTGGCTTCACACACAACAGGTGACACTGGGCAGATGATGTCAGGTGACACTGGGCAGATGATGGCCGTTCCTTAGTCACAGAACACTCGCAGGTTCGGGGAGAAGCACACTGTGCCGCATGGGGCTGCGCTAGGAACTGGAGTGAAAGAGGAGGGACTGTGGGAGGTGGGCTCTGCAGTAACACCAGGGCGGGTGACCCCCGGTCCCCGCGGCAGGATGTGATAGGATTGTCTGAGTAATTCTGAGGGCTGGCAGGGAACTGAAGCCGGCTCCTCAGGGGTATGCAGGCACCGTGCTGGTTCCGGAGACCAGGAGGGCTGCTTGTCTAGGGACCTGACATGAGGAAGCAGGGTGCAGAGGGGCCTGGCACTTACGACATCTGAGGCCCTCTGGATTTTACCAGACGTCAAGGCACACATAATCTGGGATCTTAACCTCAGGCCTTTCTCTTAGTCACGTACCTTCCACAGTGTCGGAAATCAAGGCTTTGGATTGGGATGAAGGTGAGGATGACCAGCAGGCAAGATCAGCGGGCAGCCCATCCTGATTTCTGTCCTGAAGGGCACCTGGTCCAGTCTCAAGGGCCAGTTGGATGAGGGTGTCATATAACAGGATCCCCGTGTGGCCTGTCAATTGCTCCCCCTTGGGGAAGTGTGTGACGATATGTATGAACTGAAACACAGCTCCCATCCCCTAAACCAAAAGGTCTCTTCTAAATTACAGAAATAAAGCACATTTGCACGAAAAAAAAAATCTCAGGGCTTACATCACAAGAGGCGAGCCTTGAACTGGGGGAGGGAGAGGGTATCTCGGGGAGGAGTTTGAGCAAAGGCCTGGGGCTGAGAGCGCTCGGTGTGTCTGAAACTGCAGGAAATTCAGCAAAGCTGAAGGAGACAGCGTGTGTGTGTGTAACTGAAAGTGGGGGGAAGGGGGGTGGGGACAGGCACTGGAAGCAGGCCCTGCTATCTGCTGGCCCCAGTGGATCAAGCCTCTCACATCTCCTCATCTACTGCTTAACCTTGACCAACTCTTTGCAGGTTAAACACCTACAACAGCGAAAGGGCAAACAGAGCATTAATAAACCTAATGATGTGATCCTCATCCTTTATTTTGTGACTGACTGCCAGGCTCAGGAAGAGGTTTAGAGGGAAAGATGCACACGAAGGGCTGGAGGTTTCCAGTAGCCAAGCCACGGCTGTGCCCTTTGCCACAGAGTGGAGATTAGGGGCACAACTCTTCTTGACCAAACTCAAGGCAGCCTCCTCCAAGCCCTCTTCTCCAAAAGGTCTCGACCTTGGGCTCTGTGCTTGGCCCACTTAGTCCAGTTTCAACAAGAATCCTGCTGCGTAAGTTTAGTGAAAATCCTTCACTCTTGGTATCTGATCACTCCACCCAACCCCCAGTTTTATTGAGATATTACTGACATACAGCACTGTGTAAGTTTAAGGTATACGGCATAATGAATTGACTTACATATATTGTGAAATGATTACCACAATAAGTTTAATGACATCCATCATGTCATATAGATACAAAAAAAAAGAAAAAGAAAAAATGTTTTTTTCCTTGTGGTGAGAACTCTTAGGATTTATTCTCTTAACAACTTTCAAATATGCCATACAGTAGTGTTAATTATGTGGTACATTACATCCCTAGTACTTATTTATCATAGAACTAGAAGTTTGTACCTTTTTTTAAAAAATAAATTTATTTATTTTTCTATTTATTTTTGGCTGCGTTGGGTCTTCGTTGCTGCGTGCGGGCTTTCTCTAGTTGCGGCGAGTGGGGGCTACTCTCTGTTGCGGTACATGGGCTTCTCATTGCGGTGGCTTCTCTTGTTGTGGAGCACAGGCTCTAGGCACACGGGCCTCACTAGTTGTGGCACGCGGGCCTCACTAGTTGTGGCTCGTGGGCTTAGTTGCTCTGCAGCATGTGGGATCTTCCCAGACCAGGGCTCGAACCTGTGTCCCCGGCACTGGCAGGCAGATTCTTAACCACTGTACCACCAGGGAAGTCCAGAAGTTTGTACCTTTTGAACATCTTCATCCAATTCCCCCACTCCACAGTCCTTGCCTCTGGTAACCACAAATCCGATCTCTTTTTCTATGAGATTGGGTTGTTTGCGTTTTAGATTCCACATATGAGATATTACAGTTTTTGTTTTTTTCTGTCTAGCTTATTTCACTTAGCATAATGTCTGCAAGGCCCATCCATGCTGTCACAAATGGCAGGATTTCCTTCTTTTTATGGCTGAATAATATTCCACTGTATATATACACCACAACTTATTTATCCACTCCTCTGTCAATGGACACTTAGGCTGTTTCCATGTCTTGGCTATTGTAGATACTGCTGTTACGAACATGGAGTGTAGATAATCTTGATATCTGATCAAATTCCTCATCTCCCACCCTCTGTATCTTAATACCCTGGTGTGCCTTCAGCAAGGATCCTGTTGAGTCAGTCTATCAAGAGTCCCGCAGCCTTGATGTTTCTTCTCAGTAATTTTCCATCCACTGACCCCAACCCTGCTCCTTGCCTATGACTCTCCACCTGTCCTTGTATTTAGAGTTGAGCCCAATCTCTCTCCCATTGCCATAGTCCCTCTTGAATAAAGTCTTCCTCACCATCTTTAACAAGTTCTACAACCTGCTGAATCAAAGGACAGTCCACAGATCAATATTTGGGAGGCCCTACCCCAGACCCTCTGAATAAGAATCTGCATTTTAACAAGAACCCCAAGCAATCTGTGTACTTTAAAGTCCAAGAAGCACTACTTGACATTATCTACTAGATTTTCACTTTCACACTAATAAAGGGTACCTCCATTAAATGAATTTTCACTTTTTTTAAAAAATTAATTAATTAATTAATTTTTGGCTGCGTTGGGTCTTCGTTGCTGCACGCAGGCTTTCTTTTTAGTTGCAGCGAGTGGGAGCTACTCTTCGTTGCGGTGCACAGGCCTCTCATTAAGGTGGCTTCTCTTGTTGTGGAGCACGGGCTCTCGGTGTGCGGGCTTCAGTAGTTGTGGCACATGGGCTCAGTAGTTGTGGCTCGTGAGCTCTAGAGTGCAGGCTGAGTAGTTGTGGCGCACGGGCTTAGCTGCTCCGAGGCATGTGGGATCCTCCCGGACCAGGGCTCGAACCCGTGTCCCCTGCATTGGCAAGAGGATTCTTAACCACCGCGCCACCAGGGAAGCCCGAGTTTTCATTTTTTGAAGGTGAAAATGTAGACTGAAGATGACTGATAAAGATCGAATTAGATATTTGCATTTCACGGGACTGAGCCAAATCTGGGCTGTCTGCTTTCTCTGAGGCTGAGCAGGGCAGCCGGGGTAGGAGGACAGTGACTTGAGCTGGAATTCTCAACCCCAGACTTCCCTAGCAATTCTCAAGCACAGTTTAATCTGGCAGACTCGCCAGAAAGCTGCACAGCTGCATATTCCTTAGCCCGTGGAACTGAGCGGGTGGCCTCAAGATGTGGGACTCAGGGCTTCCCTGGTGGCGCAGTGGTTGAGAGTCTGCCTGCCGATGCAGGGGACACAGGTTTGTGCCCCAGTCCGGGAAGATCCCACATGCCGCGAAGCGGCTGGGCCGGTGAGCCATGGCCGCTGAGCCTGTGCGTCCGGAGCCTGTGCTCCGCAACGGGAGAGGCCACAACAGTGAGAGGCCCGTGTACCGAAAAAAGAAAAAAAAAAGATGTGGGACTCAGGCACCCTGAGCTACCATGGCTAGGACCTGACGGACATCAAAGATAACATGGGTTTTGCTTTGGGAAGCACTAATTGTGGCTGACTCAATTCTCTAGAAGAGTTTTACAATACTAGTGGTGAACAGGAGTCCAGATCCTGGCTTGAGGACACGATTTCAGAATTGTGGGAGAAATGAGATAAACAATGCAGATTTTCAGATGCAAAATCTGAAAGAAGTTATCCTGCACAAGGCAGCTCTATAATAGTGGCAAAGAACCCAGTTGCTGCACAGCTCATTTATTTGTCAGTACTGACACAGCACATTGGAGGTAGTTGATACTGACTGACTGAATGTTGATTGATTTACAGCAACATGACGAAGATAGGGAAAACTAGTTAATATCTCTGCAGAGCAGGAAGATTTCTGGAAATTATCTACAAGACCATATATATATACATATATATGTATATATATGAAAGTTAATAATAAAAATATGGAAAACACCCAGTTTAAATACTGCAAACTCCTCAATCTGCACTCACTATAAACATTTGAAATTATAGGGCTTCCCTGGTGGTGCAGTGGTTAAGAATCCGCCTGCCAATGCAGGGTGACACGGGTTCGAGCCCTGGTTGGGGAATATCCCACATGCTGCGGAGCAACTAAGCCTGTGCACCACAACTACTGAGCCTGTGCTTTAGAGCCTGCGAGCCACAACTACTGAGCCCGCGAGCCACAACTACTGAAGCCCGCACACCTAGAGTCCGTGCTCCGCGACAAAAGAAGCCACTGCCATTAGAAGCCGGCGCACTGCAATGAAGAGTGGCACCTGCTTGCCACAACTAGAGAAAGCCCATGCACAGCAACGAAGACCCAGTGCAGCCAAAAATAAATAAATTAAATAAATAAATAAAAACAGAAATTTGAAATTATAACTTTATTGAGATATAATTCACATGCCAGACCTGTGTTTTTAAATCTGTTTAAAGTGTATAATTCAACAAGTTTTAGTATATTCTCAGATTTGAATCACCACAAATCATGTAATTTTATAATGTTTCTACCCCGAAAAAGAAACTTGTACCCATTATCAGTCACTCCCCATTTCTGGCCTATGATCCCGCCCCCTCCCCACACACCCAGGCAACCACTAATCTATAATTTTTCTCTATAGATTTGCCTAACCTGGACATTTCATGTAAATAGAATCATACAGCATGGGTACAGGTACTCATTTAATTGACAGCCATACTTGCAATTAATCCCTCAAACATGGCAAATGCAAACGTTTTAAATTACTTACACAATGAAGCGATCAAGGCATCAGAATCTGTGATGTTTCCTACCAAAGACAAGTAGACAAAAGGGCCTTCCTAGAGAGAAGAAAACGAAAACATGTTCTAATTTAGCATCACAACCACAGGATGGTACCACAGTGTGGCCAGCGTCCCCTGCCCTGCCCCACACCACACAGTCCCGGTGTGCGTGCGTGGGTTCCTGGAGCCTGGCTCCCTGAACTTGGAAATGGATATGTCCAAAGGGAATGTTTATATATAATAAATGTCAGTTTTCAATGATTGGCATTATAAAATCAGAGGTGTGCCCTGATGGGGAAAATATAAGTTGAAGATTTTGCACAAGAAAAGAGCTTAAATGGTACATTAAATAAGCTAAACTCTGGATTAATCCAGGGACTTTACACCGTTGAGAAGTACCTCACAGTACTTCATTTTGTCTCACCTCAAAAAAATCCAAGATCTCTCTTAACAAAAGTGGCATTCAAATATCTATATCAGAGCCGAACTAGTTCTTTTTCCTGCACAAGGGCAAATTTAGGAAAATTAGAAATGCTTACAGGCTATATTTAAAATTTAAGGTAATGAAATAGCTGCAATTATACTTTGAACAAATTTTGTTCCTGGTCAATACAACCCTTCTCATTTCTTTTTACCAAAACAATCACTTATGTGACATCAAAATTGTGTCTCCGCCTAATCCCCGAGGTCACTTCTAGTACAACTTCCCAGAGGCAACCACATTTAACCACTTCTGTCTGTAGTTCTGGCAACCATTTTCATAACATGTAATATACTTATATTACTATTTCTTTAGACATTATCAACTGACAGCCCAGCCTGAAAAATTACAGTATAATTTGTTCTGTTTCCCGCTGTTCCCCTTCCCCTTCCCTTCTTCCAATTTTTGATAGTAGGGGAGGAAAAACTTCCTTCTACCCTCTTAGGTTCTGTAGCTGGCCTAAGAATTAACCGACATAAACAGATTAAAAAGAAAAGCATACATATCATATTTAATATTTTTACATGTACATGGGAGTCTTTGAAGGGAAAATGAAGACCTGAATAAGCTGTTAGGCCCCAAAACTTATATGCCTTTTTACACAAAGAACAATAAACTGCAGGGATGTGACAAGACCAAGGGGCTTGAGCTGAGGACAGTAAATTGTGAGAAGGTGACTAGGAGATACATGGGGAGAAAGTAATGGAAGACAAGGGTTATTTTGGTAGGTTTATTTGTACAGGACCACTTCAGCATTGACACCCAGTCCCCAGTGATAAGAATGTTCTTTTCTTCCTGGTAAAGGGAGGGCACCTTTCTCATGGGAAGTTCAAAGGCCTGATTTTAGGTAGAAAGAGGGAGGTCAGAGAGCCCTTCCTGCATCTACAGTTTCTCAATTGCCTTCAGTTCAAAATAATCAATATGCCAAAGGGGTATATTTTGGAGTAGCATATTCTGAATCCCTTTAATAGCTATATGAATTCTCTTTTTTTAAAAAAAAATTATTTATTTATTTATTTTGGCTGTGCTGGGTCTTAGTTGTGGCATGCAGGATCTTTAGTTGTGGCATGCGAACTCTTAGTTGTGGCATGAGGGATCTAGTTCCCTGACCAGGGACTGAACCCGGGCCCCCTGCATTGGGAGCTTGGAGTCTTACCCACTGGACCACCAGGGAAGTCCCTATATGAATTCTCTTTAATTTTTCTATTAGTTATCCAAATGTGTAACTTATGTAGTAAACTTTGGGGAATTCCCTGGCGGTCCAGTGCTTAGGACTCCTCGCTTTCACTGCCGAGGATGTGGGTTCAGTCCCTGGTCAGGGAACTAAGATCCTGCAAGGCGCTTGGTGTGGCCAAAAAACAAAAAAAAAGTAAAACTTAAAGCCTCAGCTTACCCACTCATCAATATTGTGCAGTATTTGGACTTCTTACGATATCAGACAAGCATGAGAACACCCACCATCCTCTCTCCCTCTCCTCCCCATTTCCAACTCTCAACCTCTGTCCACTTTGCTTGTATGTTGTTGAAATTGACTGCCTTTCCATTCAATCAACAGCATTTACAATATGGTGATTATGTAAATAGTGTTCACTGCAATGGGCCACAACTTCTTCCTCTACAAACCCAGTATTTTTGTCACTTAAGAAGAATGTGGCAAATGGACTATTTTTTCTTACACTCATACATTTCTCAAAATCAGGCTACATTTTATTTTATTCGTTTCATGCTACAGTTTAGTTTGCTTCATATCTGGGCCATGACTTTGTTATATTTTTGTTTATGCTACAGTTTGTAATTGCCTTTCTTTTTCTCTAATTGAGAGAAGAAACCTGACTTTCTCCCCATCTCATTAATACATCTTCCAGCTTTTTATCCATTCCAATCTTTGCTGAACAGAGGCTTTGAAACTGGTTTATTTTCTCTTTTCTTGACATTCTGTAAGTTACTTAATTGGTAAGTGTGGTTTATTTCAGAGCATATGTAAAAATTATATTCCTTAAAGGAGATTTTAAAAAATTACATGTGAGATAAACAATGTTTTTAAACAAGAAGTACTCCCCATCCACTCTGCAACTCCTTATTTTCACCAATTGATCTTTTCTTTTTCTTTTTTTTTTTTTGCAGTACGCCGGCCTCTCACTGCTGTGGCCTCTCTCGTTGCGGAGCACAGGCTCTGGACACAGAGGCTCAGCGGCCATGGCTCACGGGCCCAGCCGCTCCGCGGCATGTGGGACCCTCCCGGACCGGGGCACGAACCCACGTCCCCTGCATCAGCAGGCGGACTCTCAACCACTGTGCCACCAGGGAAGCCCATGATCTTTTTATTTTTAGCAGAGCCATAGGAAATCCACGCCACTTCCCTGGCGTGACCTGGGAACTTTCTAGACAAAACACATCCACTGACTGGCCAGTAGGGGCCACAAGACTGAGCTGAATTTGATCCTCTCTAGGCCTCAGTACATCTATCTGTGAGATGAAGGACTTCCCAAAATTAGATTGTTGATCTCATCCTAAAACTAGATGTGACTTCCACTAGCAGCCTCTTCAACTGGGGCCATCAGCAAACATGGACACAGACGTCCAGTCTAGAATCTTTCCTCAGAAGCAATTCCCTGGGTAAGAGCAGCATGGAAACCTGGAATCTATAACATGCAGGGACCCAGGAGTGTATACCAAATTTGTTCCCTTTTATATCTACCTGTTGGAGTTCTACTCCTTTTTCAAATCCCAGCTCAAACCCTCCTTTTTCCAAGAAACCTTCCCAAACTTCCTGGTAAAAATTAATTTCTCCCTCTCCCTTGTTACTAAATTTGTATTTCTGTAATCAACTGTCTGCTGGTGGTGGATCTCCAGTGCCCATTAGATCATACATCTTGGGGGCCTGGGATGTTGTCTTCTCTGTCTTAGAATCCTCAAGAACCCAGGGTGATATTTTGTGTCTGCTAACCTTGATTTAATGACAAGTCCATGTAATGAATTACTTAGAAAGAAAGGTGCCCTGTGGGGCTTTTAGAAGGCACTATATATTTCTTATTGTATTACTACTCTAAGTGTAAAGGCAGTATAGCATATAAAGTATAATGAACATATCCACCCTCCAAATGCTGATCAGATGTTACCTCCTCCAGGAAACAAGCCTTCACTAATTCTCTTGATAGGAGGTAGATGTCTTTCCTGAACAGAATCCTGCTTATTTGTCTCCTCCTCAAAACCATCAGTTCTTTAGGGTAAGTCTTTGCCTTTGTCTCTGTATTCCAGATGCCTGATAGATGGGACATGCTAATAAATGCTTACTAAAAGAATAAGAAATAAAAGGAAGGGTGGAGGGAATGAGTTAAAAGAAAAAACAAAACACAAACCCAATTTAATTAGAAAATGGGCAAAAGAAATGAAGAGACATTTCACCAAAGAGAATATACAGGTAACAAATAAACATATGAAAAGGTGTTCAACATTGCTAGCCATCAGGGAAATGCCAATTAAAACCACAATGAGAGTACTTCCCTGGTGGCGCAGTGGTTAAGAATCTGCCTGCCAATGCAGGGGACATGGGTTTGAGCCCTGGTCTGGGAAGATCCCACATGCCGCGGAGCAACTAAGCCTATGCGCCACAAGTACTGAGCTGCGCTCTAGAGCCCGCAAGCCACATCTACAGAGCCCGCATGCCACAACTACTGAAGCCCACATGCCTAGAGCCCGTGCTCCATGACAAGAGAAGCAACCACAACGAAGAGTAGCCCCCACTCGCTGCAACTAGAAAAAGCCCGCACACAGCAACATAGACCCAAAACAGCCAAAAATAAATAAATAAGCCACAATGAGATATTACTATCTATCTGTCAGAATGTCTAAAATAAAAAATAGTGGCAGTACCAAATGCTGATGAGGATGTGGAGAAAATGGATCACTCATACATTTCTGGTGGGATGAAAACGGAACAGCCTCCCTGGAAAACCTGAGTTTGGCAGGTTCTTAAAACTAACATGCAATTACCATATGATCTAGCAATTGCACTCGGGCATTTATCCCAGAAAAATAAAAACTTATGTTCACACAAAAACATGTACACAAATGTTGACAGCAGCTTTTTTGGTAATAGCTAAAAACCAAATGTACTTCAAAAGGTATATGGTTAAATAGACCACGGTACATTTATACTTTGGACTACTCCCCAGCAATTAGAAAGAACCAGCTACTGACACACTCAGTACCTTGGATGGCTCTCCAGGGAATCATGCTGAGTGAAAAAGTCAACCCCGAAAGGTTACATACTCTATAATTCCATTTATATAACACTTTTTGGAATGATAAATTTTAGAAACGGAGGACATATTAGTGGTTTCCAGGGTTAAGGGGTGGAGGGAGGGGAAGTGCAGGTAGTTACAAAAGAAAAACACTAGGGATCTTCATGGTGTTGGAACTGTTCGGTATCTGACTGCTGTGGTTGAATACACCAGCCTACCTGGTACAATGGTGTAGAACTTAACACACACACACACACACACACACACAAGTGCAAGCACAACTAAGGAAATCTGATTAAGGTCAGTGGATTGTCAATGTCAGTGTCCTGGCT